AAAGAAACTGCACCACTAGGTTCCTTTTCATACTGGAACCTGGAATTTTATTAATTGTGACTGATGAGTCAGTGATGATAAAATGTAGTTTATTAGAGCAAATGTGGAGACCATTCTATTCAGAGCTGTGATATCTAGGTTTGTGATTGGCAGAATGTGGTACAGTTTTTTCTGTATGGCTTTGTGTTCCTCATTACTTAGTAAGTCTGGTGAAAACTTTGAATGTGAAGAATATTAGATTCTCACTAGGGAACAATGCTGTAGGTCCCCTTTGTTGGCTGCATTGGGCTTTGGCCTGAATGGTTAGAAGCCATAATTTAAGTACAATATGGTACAACCTTTTCCCTCAGTATCTTTAGAAGTGTAATTTTCTGTATCAACTAATGGATGATGTGTTATAAATGAGGACAGTTTATTGAAACATTAAGGAAATTTATTAAAAATGCCATTAATGTACACCTACTGTTGAAAACATATTCACATATTACTTAAAAATTTCTTCATCAGAATCAGTCATTAGCCCATTAGAATTATGGCATGGCTTTTGCTTCATTAATCATCTAGTATTGGGTTTAATTTCTGTTGATATTTGCATGTAGCTGCTCAAGTGTCCATCATAAAGATGTGTTGTAGTTCTTGATTTTATTTCTTAAGCAGGACAGTTGCTCACATCCAAATACTGCCATCAGCAGCAAAGTGAGTTTTCTGAAATCATGTAACTTTTTTTTTTGTTATACAAGGTAACACAGCATTATTAAAAGTCTATGCAAGCCACACAAAGCACACATATAAGCCACATGTGTCCCATGGGTTTAGAGAAACTTCTTAATTCAAGTAGTTCTAAACTTTGAAACTTCATTATTAAGTTCTTCTTACCCATATGTTATTTACTGTGCTGCATATATGCTTGATGAAGTACAGTAGCTTAGTGTGAGATGACCCATGTAAACACACTGTTTTATATAATTGTCTGCTGTTCAGTTGACTGTGTATTTCAATGATAGATATTTTATATTGTGTGTGTTTGTCATCTTTAGCACTATAGGATCTGTTGTATGATCTGAAGCTTTCATAGCGACTAAGTATAATAAATTCTCAGGATACTAGCCCTGTCAGGTGACTTAATGAAGTAAACACCACCGTTTTGAGAACCATATTCATCCTTGTCCTTAGGGTACTGTAGTTGTACAGTACCCTGAGGTCGAGGACAAAGATTGTTCTCAAAATGTTTAAGCCACCTTACGGGACTGGTAACCAGAGAAGAACTTATTATAGAATCTATTATTTGCACCAAATCTTTTCTGCAATTGTTAAAGTGTCATTAACTCAATGATGGCTTGTGTGCCCATCCATCTATCTACCCCATGCTTAAAATTCAGGCATCTATCATGAACATTGATTGTTCAATTTTTGTGAAAATCAATACAGCATGCAACTGGTGGACAGCCATTCTTGGTGCTCTTAATCTTTTGTTATCAACGTTACCAACATATCTGCTGTAAGACCTTCTCAGTGAGGGACAGAAAGAAGTATAATTCAGTGTAGGTTCTTGAAGCTAGGTTATATTGAATGGCTTTGGATTTGGGAAATTTATCTATTTCATGTTTGTGTTGAGAAGATAGCTGAGAAGTATAATATTTATTGAATCTGTTGGTAATCTGAATTACTGAATATTTATATGTGAACAGAAATAATTCTTAAGATTCCAGCAATTTATTTTTTGTATTTAACATTCGATGATACAGTGACATAATACATTATTTGTTACTTATATACTCCATATTATAATTTATGTATTGAAGAGATAAGAACAATGTTTGAGTTATTGTTACAGAATACTGTTTGGTATTTATTTTAATCATATTCCTTTTTTATAACTAAGTAACTAACTAGATGGCTTACGGAACCCGAAGGTTCATCACCAAATTAACCAAAGACCCTGTCCTGGGATGACAAAACCCAGTCTCCTTCAACTCCTATCTCCCGTAGATCCCACCTAAGATTATCCTCCCATCTATGTCTAGTTCTCCCCAGCTGTCTCTTCCCCTCAGGCTTCCTCACCAGTACCCAGTACACACCTTTTTCCCCATCCACGCGCGCTACATGCCCTGCCCATCTCATTCTTCTTGACTTAATCACCCTGACAGTATTGGGGGAGGAGTACAAATTATTAAACTCATCATTATGCAGTTTTCTCCAGACCCCATCATCTTCTCTACTAGGCCCAAATATCTCCTCCACACCTTATTCTCAAACACCTGCAATCTGTGTTCCTCCCTCAGAGTGACAGACCATCTTTCACACCCATATAAAACAACAGGCAAAATTATTGTTTTGTATATTTTATAATCTTCAGGTTCTTAGAAATCAGACGAGAAGACAATATTTTTAACTGAGAAGTAGCAAGCATTTCTATAATTTAATCTCCTCCTAACTTCCTCATGAGTATCATTTTGATTTGTTATTGTTGTTCCCAAGTATTTGAACTTTGTGACACTTTCAAAGGATTTATTAGCCACCCTAAGATAATTCTGCCTGCCTGTCTTCTGATGACGAGATACTAACATGTACTTAGTTTTTTCTGAATTTACTTCCAGCCCCACCTGTCTACTAGCCTCTAGTAAAACTTCTGCGTTCCTCTTTATTGTATTTATATCGTCCCCCAATAAATTAACATCATCAGCATATGCCAATAGCTGATGTGTCCCATTCAATTGCAAACCCTCCTGCCTACCTTGGACCTTCCTGATGGCGTATTCTAGCGCAAAGTTAAAGAGCAAGGGAGACAAAGCATCTCCTTGTTTTAGACCGTTAAAAGGCCAAAGAACACTGCAGTAAACATACCACAATTTGAGGTGCTATCCCAGCGTTTGTTAGAGCCACTGAGGAAAAACACGAAATATTTTAGCCAAGGAAAATTAGTGAGAATATTGTATGACACTTCTCTTTTAACAGAGTCATAGGCTTTTTTGAAACCTATAAATAATTGATGTATGGTCCCTCTGTACTATGATTTTTTCTCTAGTATCTGACGGATGCAAAAGATCTGATCAATTGTTGATCTGTTACGTCTGAACCCACACTGATGATCCCCAATAATTTCATTCGCATATGGGGTTAACCTTGCCAAAAGAATGTTGGATAGAATTTTGTATGAGGTTGATAGCAGCGATATTCCTCGGTAATTACCACACTCAGTCTTGTCCCCCTTCTTATAAATAGGAATAATTATGGATTCCTTCCACTGTTGTGGCATCTCTTCCTTATCCCAAATTAACTGAATAAGTAATATATATGCAACCCTTTGCCACCTGCTTTAATTAATTCTGCTGGAATCTGATCAATACCTGGAGATTTATAACTTTTCATCTTCCCAATGGCTCATTCAACTTCACCTAAACTAGGTTCTGGCACCAACATTTCAGCTGTATGTATTTTAATCTGTCTAATATCACCAGTATTATGAACATTTAAGAGTTCCTAAAATCATTTATGCCTCTGTACAGATCTCTGATATTGTTGTTTGCTATTTGTCTCAAGCTCAATAATTTTTCCTTTCAGATATTCCCTTTTCTTATTCCTGAAAGTTCTAGTAGCTTCACGTCTCATGTTACATAGATTATCCGCATTTGTTTTGTTTGGGTCCTGAAACCATTGAAATTTTGTTTGCTTCCTTTGATCTATTAATTTTCAACATTCTTCATTCCTTATTTTGCTTTCCCTTCAAAAGAGTATAGAGCACTTAAAATTGATTCAAAATAGGAACTGTTTTCCTTAGTGACCATGAAACAGCAGTTGCTTCTCCTACAGTGGGGTATTACAGATGATATGTAGTGTGGTTGCCACAGTAACAGGAGAAAGACCATGTATTCAGTCATTCTGTGTTTCTGAAGACTTCACAGAAATAACATCATTTCTTTTAAAATTGTGACTACATATAGCAGATTGCTTTATATGGGAGTTTCTTCAATTAAAGTCACTTCAAACAATATTATACAATTGTGTCTGTGATTCTTTGAAGTTGTTAAACATAGAAATTCTGGTAACTAGGAACGCCATACAGGAGATTTTATTGAACATACAGGACTTCATTTCCACAAGGTTGGCTACACAAGACATGATGAACCTATCTTTGCCAAATATATGGAGATTAAGTTGACACATTTGGCACCTTCCTGGTCTTTCCTACTGTATTTTTGCTGGTTTCTTTCTTCATGCCCCATACCTGCTCATAATCCCAGTCTTCTTCCTTCACATTTCTTCCATTGTTTTATAAATTCCTTGTAACTCCTTTGCATTTTTTCTTCGATGTTTTCAGGTGTTGGACCACCCACTCATCCTGGAGAACCAGGATTTTGCTTAGTAGGATTTGAGTTTTTCAGAGCAGTGAATCTGAAGATGGCAGTCTTCTGGGTTCTAGTGCCATATAGTCTGGTAGAAGTTTACCATCATTTTAGAGGTACTTGCTGCCACCATCATCAGGGCAATCATCTCTGAAACATAGGTGAACTTCTAGCAGACTGCACGGCGCAACAAACCCAGAAGAGCCATCTTAGGATTTTACTCCTTTACTCAGAAGGTTCCACTTTTAAGGCTTTGTGGCAGATCTGGCACTGTTATGCTAGGTAGCATTACTAAAGAGTTGTTAATCATACTGGCATAATTATAATCCCACAGATAATTACCAGCCCAGGGAAGGCAGTCTTTGTTTGTCAGAGAGTAAAGTTATAGTTTCTCTGCCTTTACTGACTTTTTCAATTGTAACAGCTTAGACTTGTATGTAGAATTATGGGGCTCTTAATAACACTGCTTGAAAACCACTGATCCACCCAATTCACAGCTGTCTGCTCTTACCAGTGAAATTTATTGTGCTCAGGAAACATCTGCATTTGTGTGTGTGGTTTGGTAAGTGTTGTCTCATGTTGTTATTTTTTCATTTTTAATATTGTGCATTATAATGTCATGTTTTGTGCTGTGCATTTTGTTTGTTCTCCTTGTAGGAATGAATTACTGGGACTTGCAGGCATGGTGAAAATAACCAATTCTGAAGAGAATTTGAATCATAACCAGCACTCAAATGAGACTGATGCTTGCACTGTGATTGGCAGTGGCGTGCCTTGTGCTGACAACACAGAATCAAACAAAAGGTTGTCTATGTCAAGTACTTATAGTTAGTAATAATGATTTCTGTTTTCTAATGCTTATTTGTTTGCCTTGTTTAATGCTTGCTTTTGGTGTGTTCTTCACTGTAGATAAGAAATTTACATTTAATTTAGAAAACAAATACAGGAAGATCTAACAAAAAATGTGAATGTTTGAACAATTGATAAAACCTCTTTACTATCTTTGCACTTGTCTGAAACAAGTGAGGAAGCACCACAGGAAACCTATGTCATACCTAATAATTTAGCTAAGAATTTCCTAAAACAAGTTAGCTCATTTAAATGGACAGGAGCCTGGAAGAATTTATTTTTATGATCCATTATGCATCAAAGTATGCAGAGCAGGTTTTTGGTAGTTGTAATGGCATAGCATATAGTTGAAGGGAATCATAACAACCCCATTACACAGAAGTGAGCCGATTGGAATGACAGTAATGCCGTATGCTTTAAATTTGTTTTTGGTCTTTATTTGTTTACCAGCTATCCTGATTGAGATTTCTCATGATTTCCTTCAGTCTTTCTGGACAGTGCCAGAATAGTACCTTCAAACAGACCTTGACTTTCTCCTTCCAAATCCTTTATTTACCATGTCTTTCAGTTCTCTGCAGTTTAGATATCATCATTAAATAACATGAAAATAAATTGAGATAAAATCAGATTTTCTCATATTTTATGTGCAACAATCCAATAACTAAGCATCTAACAAAAGGCTTATATAAAGGATTTCCATTCATTTACATAATTTACCCAGAAAGGTATGGGCCAAACAATTAACTTTTAGTAATGATTTTATTGAGATATCACATTTCAACCTTCACCTGATGTGTTTTGATTATTATTTAGCCATCGTCTGGGGCTCACACTGTTTAACTAGTTATTAAAAGCTGACCACTATTTTCAGTAATTCCAAACATATTTACACAGATTGTTGATATCACATTTTTGCTGCCATTAAATTATTAACATGTTCTTTTTTAAATATCCTAACCTGTTAAAAGTTTTTACTGAATTTTTGAACTTGAGATTAATTAATGAAAACTGTTCATTCCAGTCTTACTACATTTATGGTATTTGGCGCCTGTGCTGCAGCCTCAGCCTTTCCACTGTGCGCTATTACCGCGTCAGTTGTTGCCTTTCGTAGTTGGGCAGACGAGGTGATAGTGGGATTGTAGGAACATTGTACAGTGAAGTTTACTTACCTCCATTATAAGAGATGCTGAAAATGTTTTGTTTACAGGCTTGGGTACATTTCCCACACTTTCCAAACAGATCTGTAATTATTTTCCGTACGTATGTGACACTTAAAGGTAATTATTTCTTTAATTCTTCTTTTTTGTGGATTGGTCTAGTGAACTTAGTTTTGGGTGTTCTTCATGCTCTAGCATGAGTTAAAACACCTTATGACCCATCCATGTCTGTCTGAAACATTTTTCCTAGGCAGTGCGCAGCCTACATTACTGGTGGTCATTGTCACATAACATTGGGAACCTATTGTTGGTATTATTACTATTGTCATTGTTGTTCCAGCTGTTATTTTTCTGATTGTTATTTCTACTTATTGGCTTTGCTTTGCCAAATCGGATACCCCTTTGCCTATACCATCTCACCAGCAGGACTGGGAACACCTTTGACAGGCTTTAACATTCAAGGGGCTAGGCCACTTCTGCCATCTGGCCTGTGGACGATTGGGACCGCCCCTAAGAGGTTTTGCCACCCACTGAGTTAGGACACTTTCAGGGAATACTGCTATAACTTGTTTGGATTCAACATCTACCACCAGAATATGCCATATATTCCATCTTTCAAGAACATGCTTTTGAAACCAGAAGGTTGCTCCCGTATTTCTGTGGTCTAAATGCAATATCATTTATTTGGAATATTAAAATTAAAATAGCTCACTGCAGAGGAGAGTGCAACTGATATTCAGAACCTTATGAAGCAGGTTATCAAAAATTCATACATGGAAGACTGGAAAAATGCTATTTCGCATATAAACAAATTGAAACACTTTACTGGGCAATGGATAATTTTTAGAGGAAGAAGTAGAATAGATTTTAATCAAGTTTGGCATGGAAGATTCTGACACCAATTCCAGCAATGGTAGTGATTTGTCCATATCTGCCTGAGATGCAGATGATGATACATACATTGCCATTCCAATTACAGAATAAATGCCGAGGGATTGAAACAGCCCTAGTGAGTGAGTGGTCCCTATAAACTTTGCATTTTTTGCTCAGTCAGTTCATTCGTCGCCCTGATGATGGAGGCAGTATGCCCTCTGAAACGTTGGTGGACATCTGTCTTACTACACGGTGTAACAACCCAGATACAGCAATTTTCATACCCACTGCTGTGAAAACCTCAAATCCTACAACTCTTATTTAGTTTAAAATACAGTTGATATTGCCTTAACTCTGAAGGATGTGTGCAGTGTGTTACATCATCTTCTTATCATTTTCTTGTAGATATCATTCACAAGGCATGGACAGATATAATCCTCCATTCTGAGTCATTTCCTTGTTTGTTGTAGCAGTTGACACCCGATTATAGCATGGATTTACAGGTGTCTTTTCTAAATTTTATTATCAAAGTTCTTTAAATTATATCTTTACTGAATTTTTTTTATACTTGATCCAGTCATACTGGTGTGAACCAAGGGTCACACCTCAGAACTTGTGACTGCATAGAAACAGTAATTCACTGCCCCTTAAAGTTGCCATTACTATTTTCTGCTATGGGTTTTCGTTTATTATAATGCACTTGCATCTGTACTCTGCAATTAATACATATTAGTATAACAAAAACATCTTCAAAATTTCCTGTGATGCAGTTCTCTGAATGAAAACTTTTATGGTATCATAATTAGTTAATTCTAAACTGCTTGATTGTTTCAGAGTAGTTATATGGCTGTTCAAGATATTGTATGAAACTTCAATGTACAGCACTGTAATAACAAAAATCTACCACTGGATTCTATCTTTTCTTAACACCTTTTTTTTCTGAGATCCACTTTATTATTATCCTTGTGTTTGTTTTTGTGTCTTCCAGTTGACCGAGTTATGAGGTCATCTCAGAGATATGGGTATGCATTCAGTCATGCTGCATTTGCAGTAAGCCAGTAATTATAATTATTATTATTGGAGTTGAAGTTCACACAAAACAAAAAAATAAGAAACTTGAATCACTTTTTTTCTGGCCGTTTCCTGGACAAGTTGAATAATAATTTGAAACTGATTATCCATGCAGCAGCATTGAAGGGCGACCACTGTCTACCAGGACCAACACTAAGAAAAACGTTCTTTTTTTGAAACAATGAAGTGTTTTAGTTTGTTTAAATCTGCAGATTCTAATTGGTGAGCCAGATTGGAACTTAGACCACTTCTTGGTCGAAAAACTAGTTCAAGTGAGAGCAATTCCTCTCCTAATGGCTAGCCACAGTAGGGCAGAAGTAGGGTGTGAAATAAACCTAAACACCCTCAGCAGAAATTTTCACTAAGTTGGGTTTCCAGTCCATGTTCTTTGTGTAATATAAATTTTAAAAACTGATGTCTTTCATAACTTAGATTATATCTTGAGGAAACAAGCCGGGGCATGATCTACGGTCTTGTCTGGCTACAGTTATTTATAGCCACGTGCTTAGTGTCATAGCAAACACAGTTACTACTGCTTGCATGTTGAAATGCAGAGCCTGACTTGATTATCTTGGATGAACCAAGCTGCACATCCAACTTTTCTCAATCTACTTGATTCAATCACCTTACATTATTACATGAAAAGTATAACCCATAAAACTCCATGTTATGTAATTGTCTCCATTTATTTGTTTAGTTCATTCGTCCTTCAGACCAGATATTTTTCTCAGCTTGTTTCATATGTCATAGTGAACTGTGTTTTGCCACTGTATTATTACCAATTGAAGATCCATAAGACTACTGAATAACCTGAACCTGATGGTAGGTATATCAGTTGGTACTGATAAAATTGTATCCTATGGTATTGTAGAAAAATATTTGATATAGGTATAAATTTAGCATATAAAAATATTTCTTGACACTTTCATTATTTATAGTGTGAGAGAGATTTTAAATTATGAATTTGAACCTGATCTTCGTCCTCTGCAGAATATTTTAGTCTACAGTGGAGATGGTATTTGTTTTGTAAAATGTCTAAACCAGGTGTGTCAAATCCCTCCACCTCTAGTCTTTTTGTTAACAGTTGGTTAATTCCTTTACCTGCCCTAGCTTTGTCAGTGAGGTTGTAGAAGGAGTAGAAAATGTATGTGCTAATTACCTTCTTCCATTCTTCTTAGAGACCTTCCAACTTCCAGTGGAAGAAACGTAGATATTTCCTACAAGAGAGAAAGTTAACCATGCTGCTGGTTTGAATTGTTTATAAGCTTATTCTTTGAACCAGAAACACGGTTTCTTTGGTTTTAAAGTGCTTTAAAACAGTGAAATAGTCAGTAAGAAAGTGGTGTATAAAGTGTGTGATTTAAGTGTTGCATAGTCTGGAAATACAACAGATTGAAGTTTTCACTTTTGAAAATGTGTGCCACTAATGGGAAAGAAAAATGTCACCCCACTAGCTACTTCCAGCCACAAAATAATTGTGAATTGGACAAAAACAGTGCAGAAGTACAAGGAATAATTTTGTCAGCTGTGTGGTTTGTTTGCAGAGATTTAAGACCAGTCAGTGTGGTAGAAGGTAAAAGTTTTGAAGCATTTATGGTTGAAATGTGTCCCAAGTATCGAGTTCCTTCACTAAACACAAAATAAGGGGTGAGACTTCTGACATTTGTAAATGTATAGCTGAAAACTGAATTAGATTGATATTTTAGCTTTAACAATAGATTTCTGGTGATCATTGTCAATGGATACTTACATGGGCATTATGTGTCACTACGTAGATGAGGAATGATTGTTCAGAAGCATTATTCTGGAAACCATGCAAGTAAATGTTTCCCAAATGGTGAAAAATATTTTAAG